ATTGCCACCAACAGGACTGGCCCAGCCAGGCCCTGACACCTGCTGCCAGAGGAGGGGCCAGGCGTCTACTCGCCTTCCCAGCCAGCCCACACCTGGAAGGAACAAGGCTTGAGAAGTCACACGCCGAATAAGGACAAGGTATTCCTGGCTCGTTTGTCAGCCCAGCTAATGAGTCTGGGACAAGTTAGTTGCCCTTCTTTGGGGTTTAGTCCCCCCTGGCTACCTGAGACCACAAGCAGGGACCTCTGTCTTCATATCAATGAAGAGTCATCACTATCTTCTGTAATCACATCATCCACCTGCTGCGTTTACAGCGGGTTCCCTTCGGAGAGTTACGTTCTCAGTGGGAAATGCCGTCTGAGTTCTGGTCTGTCCTGTCTGCGTTCTGGTCTGTCCTACTTCACTGCGTTTGATAATCTCAACAAAGAATAGAGCTTGAATTTTCCACTGAATGGCTGCAAATATCCGGTCAGCTGTTTACCTGAAATGTCAGGATCCTCAGGGCTGGCTGGAAGCCAGAAGCCTGAGTCCGCTGCCCACGCCCTCCTGCCTGGCCGGCCCATTAGGAGCTGCGCCCAGATCCCCAATCCTGAGAGGAGAGACCGAGAGGGTGGCTCTTACAGCAGCAGGGAAAGGAGTAGGCGCGGCACAGACTCTCTCGGCCACCCCCAATCTCGCGAAAGTCAGGCTGAGGTGACAGGTTCCATGTGTCGTGTTTCAAGTCTAAGGAACTATCCCGGAGATATATAACCCTCAACTGTCAGCCACCAGCGCCTGAAGGAGAGTCTCCTCTCACCAGACCCTTGACGAGCCATCCTACCCCACGTCTTTCTCTCTCCAGTGGAAAAATCCCCTTTCTCCCGTTCCAAAATCAGTTGCTCCCTAGGGCCAAAGAGCGACTGAAGGGCACAGGACTTAGGTCCCCACCCACTTGGTCCGGTAGAGACCTGTCAGTGTTTACCCAGTGAGAAAGGCACTGCTCACAATACCTGCGCTGTCTGGCATCTGCCAGGTGCACGAGATGCTGCCGTCCTTCCAACCCCCGCTCGCCTCTGCCCCCACCCCCGTGTCCAGAGAGCAGCTGAGGACAGAGAGGGAAGGAGGGGTCCCCGCTGGTCAGGACTCAGAGCCCATGTTCTGGAGGTGACAATTGAGAACCCAGGACGTACATCTCCCTGAAGGTCATGGTCACTGGGCGGGGGGGGAATGGCCACCAGGGAGATGGGGCAGCCTTGGCCCCAGCTTTGCACATCCCCCCATGTGCTTTCTTTAGACCGTGGTACATGACTCACCTCTGAGCAGTCAACCAGCATCACTGAGCTGTGGTCACTCCAAGCCCCATAGGACCCCAGAACGCGACTGTCATTCTAGCTCAGGCCCCCTCCCCCACCATGGTCTGAGTTTCCTCTTCCCGAATCCACGCCCCGTGGCCCTGCGGGATGGTGAGCTGACGCGGGCAGGGCCGTGTCTCTCCTCTTTCCCACTCCTCCCGGGTGCCTTCCCCAGCACGGCTCTCTGCCCGTGCAGCTTGGATGTCTGAGAAATGGGGGTCTATCACTTCTCTTAAGTATTTCGAAACTATTACAGGAAATCCTACATTAAAATAAGGTCTCAGAGACTAATTAACAGATAGAATTTCTTTTCTTTTATCTGGAATGATATCAACTCAGGGTGGTAACAGTTGGTTATCCCATGCTGAACAAAAATGCCTGAATGATTTTTTTAAATTAATTTTTAGAGTGAAAAGAAATTAGCACTTAGGCCGCATAAACACAGGTTGCTTGCAGCCAACACCTCAGGAAGCTCCAACCCACCGTAAAGAATGCCAGGCACCCTGGGGGGCTGGGGTGGGTGGCGCGGGGGTCTGGTTGCCTGGCTGGGGCTGAGCCTGCGCTCAAGCTGCTAACCTTCCACTTCTTCCTCCCTTGTCACCGTTGACTCTGACTCTGCCCTCTGGCCCTTGGGAGGCCCTGGAAACCAGCGTCTGGAAATGCTAGCTGCCTCTGTATTTACACACTTTACCATACATGGGAATTACTCAGTGCTGGCGTCAGACGAATTCCTGGGGAGCTGCGTAGTACAGCCACGTCATTACCATATAAATTCCTGACAACTGCAAACAGCAGGCCAGGCGGCTCCTGTCAGAACCCCAGACCCCCTCGCTCCCCTCGCCCCCCCCCCGCCTCCCCCCAGCCTCTCCCTCTCTCTCTCTCTCTCTCTCTCTCTCTCTCTAGCAGGCTCTTTCCCAGGCTTCCTTTCTTTCCTGCAAACCTGGCCCTGAAACTCAAACATGTGTCAGATCTAATGAAAGTGTATCCACTGGGGTCTGGAAACTAACTTCCAGGGGTCCCCTCCCCTCCTCCCTGGCCATGCAGCAGAGTGAAAACCTCGCCTTCATGAGTTCTAACCCTGATCCGCCCACCTTAAAACTGGCAAAGCCACGTGTTCCTGAAACAGTTTATAAGTCGCTGTAAAGCACCTTGTAAAGCTGACGTGTTCCACAAACGGCAGATATTTCCCTAGCGAGTTGGTCTGGAAAAGGAAGTGTGGAGAAAATGCAAAGAGAAATAATAAGGTAGTGACTGAGCGTGGGTTTTAGAAGCAGTCAGCCGATGTTTGAATGGCAACTCCACAACTGACCCGCTGCAATCGCAAGCCATCACTTCCGAGCCTCAGTTTCTTCATCTGTAAAATGGACAGCATTCATACTCACCTTGTAAATTGCCCAAGATCAAACACGTGAAGTGTTTAGCCCAGTGCCTGGCACGCAGCAAGTGCAGATACCTGCTTACTATTATCTTAAAGAAAGGCCAATTTTTTACACTTATTGTTCAATTTTGTGTCTTTTGTGATATTTGCCAATATGCCTGAGTAATGGCAAATGGCAGACTTGGAGGAAAAGGTCTTTTTATTCTCACTAGCACCTCTTAGGTCTCAAAATGTTTAATGCGTGCCTCTTTATAGTCCTCTCGCAAGCCAACTTTTCACAAAAATCTGGGCTTACATAAATATGTACAACTTTAGCAATTTACCAGAAAAGCCTTCCCAATTTTATTTTCCCCTCCAGGAGATCCACAGTGAATAAAAACTATGCCGTTTTTCTCTCACCTGGTCATCAATTTATCCACGTGGTAAACTGGCCAGTAACTGTTTGCAAGGTTTGCCAACGTCCAGTAGGGTGACTCAGCCGAAAGCCTCCTGCCGCCCCAGTAAACATTCACCAAATGTTTACTGATCATCAGTCGTCACTACGCTCCCAGGCTGCAACTCTGACCCAGTGAGGACTCGCCAGCTCCGGAGGCAGATGCGTGCAATTAAAAAAGCAAACTACCTGGGCCAGGAAGGAAGGTGATAGGGCAGACCAGAAGCAAAGAGGCCACAGCACCCTTGTTTTTCTCATTTTCTTAGCCAGCCAGTTGCAGAGCTGGTGGGCATCCTCCCCAGAACCTCCATACTGGGCACCTCAGGTCTTGCAGTTCTCCCCTGCCACTCTCTGACCCTCACCACACCCTCTGCAGGAGAAACTTCCTTCCCCGCTCGACTGCCCCTGCCCCGGATATCCTCTCCAAGGCAAAGAGTCATTCACTGGGAGATGGTGAGTAGCACCAGGCTGTATTTAGACGACGATGGGATAAAAGTTGCCCAGCAGTCTGAGCACAGACCCTCTCAAAAGACAGACCAGCTGGAGAGTCAGGAGGCAGCAGCTGAGCGGGAGCAGGGGAAGCTCAGCACCCGGTCCCCAGTCCCCCTTGGGGGAAAACCTCCACCTGCACCCTGAGAGGACAGAGAGAGGCAGCTGGCACTCCCAGCTTCCCCATGTCCTGGGAAGAAGGGTAAGGATGTGGAGAGGGCAAGGAAGAAGACAGTGACCGAGAACTACTGCCTTCTGTAATACATTCCCCAAGTACCACCCCCAGAAGAAATCGAGAAGTTAAGTCACTTGTCCAAGGAAATCTGTGTATTAAGGGGCAAGAGTCACAACTTTGCCTTCCAAACAATCTCTCATCAAGATTCCAGGCCACTGCTTCCTGATATACTTTCTCCCAGAGCCCAGGGGATTGCCCCAGTGCCACCGGTGACTGTACCCCAAGGCAGGGCCCTCTCATCGCGGGGAGGGCCTGCCCATTCATTCGCCCCAAGGGAGCAGGGGGTGGGTGGCTGGAACCCAAGGCTCTGGGGAGGCCTGAGCCCACGCTAATGCTCCCAGCCTAGACCAAAGCCTGATTAGATGGCGACAGCACCAGCACCAGGGGCATGCAGAATATTCTCAGGCCTGTGCCCGCAGATCAAACACCTGCTTTTAACTGTGCCCAGCACCAGCCTTTCTTGCTCCCCAGCGTCCAAGGACTGAGACCACAGAACACCTACAGCAGGATCTTTCAGGTTCCTGCAATGGTAGCCATCTAGGACCAAGACTTGGGGTGGGGGTAGGTTTCCATCAAGTTCTTTCAGAAGAAGGAAGTCACACCTGCACCCAGGGGCACAGATGCCCAGGGCCAGATCCATGAGCCACATGTTTCCCCCTCCCCACCCGCCGGCGTTTTCTCCTAGAGCAGGAGGGTGATGGCGGGGGTGGCACGGATGCACTCATCTCTGCCTTACAATGAGCGTCAGTGGCTGCAGAATCGCCAATTGTTCTGCCCGACCTGCAGGCGGTGGCGGGGAGCCGGGTCGCCCCGGGTCAGGGGCACGCGGAAGCCAACTGTGTCCAGGAAGCTCCGGGTGGGCAGGGACCGACCCAGCGCCTCCTGGAAAGAAGCACCGCCCAGGCTAACTGTGGCCATTTCTGACAATTCCTTGCCCGCGACGGCCCCAGGGCCGCGCCACTTTCCCTCCACCTTTCCCCGCGGCTGCCAGGGCCGCGGCGGGGGAGAAAGACCGGTAGGCGCCGGGCGTGTGCCAGGCGCCCCAGCCGCGGGCGGCCGCGGGGGGCAGGGCGGTGCGACGCTCGGGGCAGGTGGCCGGCGGGCGAGAAGCGGGCGCGGCCCGGGCGCACTCACCTGGCAGCGGCTCGGCGGCGCGGGCGGCAGGCGCTCTCGGAAGTGGCTGCTGGGTGCGCCCGGCCCGCGCGCCGTTTTGTTCCGCTCCGGGGAAGGCGTGTCCCCCGCCACGCCAACCAGTGGGCTTTGCACACCGCACCACACCAGGGCTGATGTCATGGCGCGGAGCCCCGCGGCGCTGCCCCCCCAAGAGCCGGGACAGCCCGGGCGACCGGCGGGGCAGGGGCGGGACACACCTACTCCTGCGTCCCACTGTGTGCCCTGTCGCCGCCGCCTCCCCCGCCGCCACGGAAAGGCTTGGCACTTGCGAGGGACCTTTTAGGGTGTTCCTGCTGGGCCAGGAGATAGGACCCGTGATAAACTTGTGCCTCTAGGGAAGGGGGGGTCTCGAATTTGTGTGTCCTGGTGGCAGGGGAAGGGATACACCGTCGGCGCCAGAGTAAGACCGGCCCGTACAGGGCGGGTGTGATCCTGCCTTTCTCACTAGCTGGGCCCCTGGCCTAGACCCTCAGCCCCGCTGGGCTTCAGGTCCCCGCGAAAGGGGCGTGATCCGCAGGACTGCGTGGCGGGTGGAAGGACAGCGCATGGGACAGTAGACCTCCAGCAGCAAATATGATAGACAGTAAACGTGACTCCCTCTTCCAACAGCTCCCGTCCCCTCCGCTTTCCCCAGCCTTACCCGACACCCAAAGGAGAATACCTACCTCCCCGCTCCTCAGAAGCAGCAGTTCTGAAAAGGGGGCCTCCAACCTTCGGTATGACAGACACAAGCTCAGGCCTCTCCGGGCTGCCCTGGGGCAGTTACAGCGGGCAGGCCTCACCCAGTCCCCAGCCCCTCCTGAGTGCCTGGTGCCCGCATGTGAGAGGGCAGAGGAGCTCACACCCCGCAGAGCTGCTGCCTGGGTAAAGGAGAGACCCTACCCCTTTCCTGGAAGGGAAACAGCCCAGAAACCCAATGCCCTAGACAGAGACGGAGCCCCCGCCCTTTGGCAGGGAGGGTCCAGGTGGAGGAACAGAGACAAGCTTTAAAGGAAGGTACCATTTTCCCTTCCTCCCCCCACCTCCCAGTCCTGCCCTGCTCCAAGCAAGGAGCCACTGCCCTTTGTTTGGGACTTGTGAATTTGGATTTGGGGACACTGCAAGAGAGACTGATGTTCCCAGGAACAGGAGAAGCAAAGAAGGGGTGAGAGCCTCTGGGAAACAAAGCACTAGCTACGAGTTTGGAGTCTTTTGTAACTTGCCCACTTTATTTCTAAGACCAAAGGGAACCAGGAGCTGGTATCATGTCTTATTCTCGAGGGTTGAATTACATTATTTTCACCTCTTACAGACTGTGATGGGAAATGAACCACACTCAGATCTTGCATCTAAATTTCAGTGTGATTGTGTGTGTTGTGTGTGTGTGTAACTTTCTACTGCTTTTTTGCCATCTAGAGCATTCTCAGAAGGAAGTACTGCAGCCTCCTTCTGCCTATAGCAGTTAATTGGGGATGAGGCCCTGGAGGGTTACCGGGCAGCTGGTCACCCACCTCACCCCAGGTCACCCATAGATAGAGCTGTCACATCTTCTACCCCGGGCAGGTGTCAGGGCTAGGCCCCCACAGCCTTCATTTAAAGCCCCAGTTTGCTGAGTTCACTTTCTTCCAGGAATAAAGTTAAGCATCTTATGATCCAGACGATGAAGTATTTATGAGGGTTCTTGTTGCTTTCTACCATAAAAAAGCATCTTTCCTTTTGCCAGGCCCATCATATAAACAAGGCCCTCCAAGACTGAAATGTCTATAAGCGCCAAGCAGTGTTTCTTGCAGATTGGGCCATCTTTATCTGACCCAACTAAGATGTAGGAGCAGAAACCAGAAGAACTCCTGGTCATTCCTGCACTGAGCAAGCAATAGATAAACAGGTACATGAAATTGTAGAACTGCAATCAGTGTCAGAGACCATGGGCTTGCTGCCCAAAGGTAGTGATCACGTGGGATTTCCCCCTCTCCCTTCAGTTCTTAATCTCCTGGAGAGATGAGTGGTGGAGTTTTGCCCAAAATCTTGCAAAAGGGAAAACTCCTGCACTTCCTTCTTTGGTCTGGGTTTGTCTTCTCTGGAGAGGGCTTCTCTGGGCTTGTTGATAGATTTCCCTGTGAGCACGTGCCAACCTGTGCTGTGAAAGGTCCTTACGGAAGGTCCAGAAAAAGGGGAGCAATGGCTGCAGTCACACCTGGATTTTCCCCAGAGGGTCTTAAAGCACCTTGTAAATAGAGTGGCTGTACAATAATCATTCACACTGCAATGCTTTTGATAGGAAGTAGTATAATGTAGCATTCATAACTACACCAAGGCAGCAGGACTAGCTCAGGCAATCTGGGTCATATGGTCACCTTGCTTGTTCACCCCAAGACTGTCAGTGCATTTGTCTTAGAAGCTGTCTAGGCAGAGCTGCAGATAAGGAGGCCAACCTTTACCTTTGTAGGACCTCTCTGCTGTTTTTCCAGAACTTCACACCTTTTGGTTACGTTGCCCCCCCCTGCATGCTGCCAACCACTTGAGCTTGGGCTCTGGCCCTTTGCAGATAAAGAAGGCTTAGGGGTAAGGAAGGACTCTGGGATTGAGTCAAGTCAAAGGTGATGCTGGGTTATCTACCAGGCAAACAGGCACAAGCCTTATGTTGAAAGCACAGAAAGGCCTCATACTCGGGACATCCTTAGGGCAGAGACACTCATTCTGGCTGACCTCACTTGCATAACCGTGCCTAGACTGGCTCCCCCAGCCAGCGGCTCCCGCATCTTCAGGGAGAAGTCAGAGCTCACACGAAGAGATTCTCTGCTGGGGGTTCTAGAAGGAGGCTTGGCACACTTAGGAGCTTGGCTGCTTCTCTAGACTCTCAAAAATGTCTAAAGTTTTCAGTATCTTCATGTCCTCTCTGTACATTCTACTCTCCGCTGCCTCTGCGTTGGTACTTAATGGCTACCCCTGACGAAGTACTCAGGTGCGTTACAGGCAGGCAGTAGGACCCCTGCCCTCCAACTTCCTCTGCCGCCTCTCTGGCATCTTCTCTTCTCTTTCCTCCCTCATCAGCATTCTGATGTCATATCTTCTCTCTCCCTTTCTGCTGCAGAATCTTTCTTTTTCCCATTGATCCCAGGTGAGGGGGTTCTGAATGTGAGACTGAGGGAAGAGTAAATTAATGTGGCTGCTTTGGCTCTGCCCACCATCCCAGAGACGTTAGAGATCCAGTCTGGGCCAGAGCTTTCTCACTTGTTCATTCATCCATCTATCCATCCATTCATCCCTCTGTCCGTCTGTCTCTCCACCCATCGATCATCTGTTCATTCATCTCTCCATCCACCCATTCACTCAGCAGGCATTTATCCAGGTCGTGCCCTATGCCAGTCAGGTGCCACAGGTTCCGGGAATACAGGGAAGACTGTAACCTGGATCCTGACCTTAAGGAGTTTACGATCTAATGGGTAAACCAATCGTCATCAGGAAAGATGATTGAGGGTCAGCCAGGAAGCAGGGAGAAGAAGCAAAATCTTGGAAGAGCATTGTTGAACCAGGGAACTGCAAATTTATCAGCAAAGCTGACACCTAGGATGCAAGAGAAGGTTCCATGAGAGATGGGGCTGGCAGGTAGAGAGGGACCAGAGAACATGGCGGACACTGTAAGCCATTTGAAGTGGGGGTGCACGGTTCTGAGAGCAGTGGGAGTATTGAAAGATCTTAAGCAGGGAAATGACATGGTCAGTTTAAAAAGCATTTTTGGAAGATGACTATGACTTCCTGTGAGGCTAGATGAGAACCGGGAGAGGGGAGCCTGCAGGGGCTATTTGCTTATTGCAATAGTCCAAGAAACAGAAGCTGACTGGCAGTAGCCCTCGGGATGGAAAGCAGGTGATGAACTTGAGAGTTATTGAGGAGGAAGAATCTGCTGGACTTGACCAATTGCCTTCTGGCCGTGGAGTGCAGAGGCAGCAGGAAGGGGGAGAATGAGGGATGGCTCCTCATTTCTGGGTTGGGCAACTCACTAGGGTAGGTAATTCAGGACCAGCTGCAGTTGCAGGGCAGGGAGGGGTGACGAATTTAGTTTCCTTGGCTTTGAGATGCTTGTGGAACATGCAAGCGGAACTGTCCAGTAGGCAGTAGGACATAGAGCAAAAGAGGGGCCAGGGTTGGAGATAGAGGTTTGAGGGTCTTCAGTCTAGAGAGAGCTTGAGAAGAGGAGCAGGCTCAGGACCCCAGGGACATCATTTGCAGGTAGCTGAGAGACCACAAAGGAAACTGAGCAGGAATGATCAGAGATGTAGGGGGAAAACTCCTGGCGCGGAGGCCAAGGGAGAGAGCATGTCAAGGACATGCACGTGAGTCTCATTTTTGAGCCACGCCACGGGAGGCCTGGGAGGTGTGGTGGTGCCTGGGGGAGAAAATGAATGGTGGGCCCGAGAAAGGCCAGCGCTGGCAGGTTAAGGCATTTAGGACTTCTTACTAAGGCAGTACCGATCCCTTTTGCACCAAAGCGTTTGGTATCCCTTCCCCTTTCCCGCACCCGGTGTTCCCCCACGTTCTTCTTGGAGGGGTAGAGGGTTCTGCAGAGCTAAAGAAACGAATGTGGGGAATACAAAGGGTCCGGGAATAAAGGCCTCACCGCGCAGGTTAGCACGTTCACCGACAGACACTGCCTTGCGTGCTTCCAGGGACTAGGAATGGCCCCGGGGCCTCTATGCTTTGGAAGAATCCAGCATTAGACTTGCAGCTGGGGTCTCAGCTCTGTCCACAATGATTAAAAATACTATTAGCAATGACAAATAATCAGTGAGCACCTGCCGCCTGTCAGGCGCTTTACGCAGTTGTCCCCTTCAGTCTTCACAGTCGCAGTGTGATGTGCTATTTTTACCCTCTATTTTGCATGGAGGAAACCGAGGCTCAGACCAGTCACTAAGTTAGTGGCTGCAGGACCATGACCTGGACCTCAGCTTTCCTCGCGTTGAAATGGCAGGTCGTTCTACCTCAGTATTCTCAAAGTTTCCCTCTGACAGCAAAGCGGGGGGAACACGTCCCTCCCGAGGATCTCAAAATACTGGCAGGATCAGCCCACTCCCAGTCCTTGAATTCTTAGGTTTTGTTATAAAAGTGTATTTGAATTTTGCATTCTCCTCCACACA